TCATAATTTACAGATACTAGCATTCAGGCAGTAACCTCTGTTTTGACAGTGAAACCACTGAGCTATAGCAGACTTCTAACACATCCATATGGGAAACAATAACTTGCACTTTAAATAAGCGCTCATAATATCTAATGAGTTACCTGGTTAGACACAGGAGAATATCTTATCAAATCAGAAATCTCAAAAGAGTGCAATGCAAATTCTTCAATGGGATGACACATTAAAAGAGGCTCCAGTACTCATAAAAAAACACCCCAACTGTGATTTCACCTGCCTATTGTTTTTACTTTTAAGGAAAAATTTGTATCACAATTATGATCTATTTGTATGCATTTTTCCTTTCTTATGAATATGTCTTTATGAGGTAGAAATAAATCAAATGAGGTGCAACTACCCGCACCTTAAACAGGATCACAATACAATCATAATATCTTTGACATGGCAAACAACTGAAGTAAGCAAGCAACGGTTTTGGTATTACAAAAGAACCTGTTCCTAGGCAGCATCTGTTCAAGAGGAATGAACATCTTAATCATAAGGAAAATTATGAGTTAAAGTCTCATTATCAGGCACTGAAAAGAAAAAAAGCAACACTTTAAAGATTATATGAAAAACTATAAGGCATATACAGATTATACAAGTTCAAAACAAAATGACAGAAAACTACTTTCCTTTTTGTAAATTTGCCTACACCTATGGATTGATGTTTGCTTGTTTTACAGTCACAGCAGCGTTCAAAAGCTCAGGAGGATAAGGAAGTTGAAATTGAGGCATAACTTTGAGAATTGCATTCACTGAGTAAAACTAAGTTTCAAATATTTTTGCACAGTGGGTTGATTGCTAGAAGCAGAATTACAGCAATGAGATGTTCGATTAATGTTGTGTGTCTCTGTGGAGCAGAGCTTGCAAGAGCTCTCTGAATAGAAGGATATCATACAGAATTAAAAATGAAGGGTGTAGCTTTGTTCAGTTTTCAAATTGCTATGTGACAGTCTCCAGTAAATTAGGAAGCAGTTTCTGATTGATGGCTGCTGTTGGAAAACTTCCCCCAGTCTTTCTGCAACTTTCAAAATCTACTTGCTCTAAATATAACCAGGCATTCCAACACAGTTTGCTTCATTTTATTACTTTACAAGCAGCATCACTTATATGTTAAGTGTACTATTTAAATGCGTGCACACTCTAAATTAGTGGTGTCCAAAGTGGGGTGCATGAAGAAAATATCAGAAATGCAATAGTACATGTATATAATTTAAAAAAAATATATATATTGGTGGTGCATGCTCAAAAAATTTTTTACTGATACTAGTGCATGATCAAAAAAGTTTGTAGACCACTGTTCTAAATGCATCAATATGAATTTTTCTTTCCTCGTAGCTTATCCTCTCCCTTTTTTACATTTTTATGTGCTAGATTTCAGTCTGAAAAAAACCTCATCAATGGTGGCAGAGATTGAAATGTTGTCTTCGTCAATTTATGTCCTCATCCATCTTATCAAGAAATACTGAACTTCCTCAGAGGATTTGCATGAGGCTATTTTAAATGAACCATTATGAAATGCCCATTAGAAGCACAAAGGAATACATGGAACTTTTACAATAACAGTTTCGTGCCCAGTTCTTTGCCAAGACATCCCCTCTTCCTCTTACGCAGCATATTAATAACGGATGTGGTTTTCACAATCCAGTACAGGACCACTTCCTTGTTACAGGAACTTTGCCTGAGAAATCCAAAATCTAGAAGGCAACAAAGCTGCAGAGAACAAAATTATCTGTCCCTATGCATGTGGTCCTGTCAGTTCTTAGGGTTCTGGGTTTTTTGCTATAATGCCACAAAATGCCAATTAAGAATTCCCATGGGATGCAGGAGCAGAACATGAGCAATGAGTCCATGACTCCCTATTGCTTTCAGTCACCTGGGAAATTGCAAAGATGCTCAATTTTTAGTTAGGTGCTTTCGATCACACTTTTATAGTCAATTCATGAAAATTACATTTTTGGTGATAAAAAAGTAAAAGATAGGGAATTAGCTTCTAATACTAAAAAGTTGCTTTGCATTTCTTTTGTGTTATAAGGATGAGGGAGAATTACTCCAAATCTCTTCTCTCACTGCAGGCAACCTGTGTTGGCATAAAATGGCAGAATATAAGGCCTTCTAGCCACTTTGTGCCTTCCCTTGAGTTTGCATGAAATGAGCCACATTTCTTTTGTTAATTCAATGCTACTGCAAAGCACTGTATTACCCATGGCAACTGCAGTAACATCATTACTTCCAAAGGTCACTAAATTTTTCAGGCTTCCCTTAGATGACTCGCTTGAAAAAGGCTCCCTATGGAATATTCTGGAATATTGTCTAAATATATACTACTGACAGGATGTGAGCTACCTGCTCCTGTGCTTCTAATAAAATAAATATGAAAACAAACTCATAAATGTCTTCTCATTATTTTTTAAACTATCCATCAGTGGCTTTCTAAGTTTTTCTTAGCTCCATGGTGCTACAGTAAGTACAGATCCAAGCACATGATACTGGGAACACACAGAACACCTTAATGAGTCAAATGAGTAAGTCCCCCATGCTCAGGAGTGGCAAGAATAGATGCTATTTAGTGAGAGAAATCAAGCCGGGGCACTTTTGGCATCCCTTCCCCTCGCAGTGAATCTCTCAGTCTCACAACTCTGCCACAACATCGCACTGGGACCTGGAGCAGCACAGAAGTGTGGAGGTAAGTGTCCAAAGCAACAATGGCCCTGCACCTGCACAACAAAGAACCTGGCTCTTTCTGCAGCTGTTTATGGACCAGTTGTTCATTAGTTTGTTTTATCGTTTTAAGTCTGCAAATACAATTTACCCACAGTATAGTACTTTGGCTACTAGTTCCCTAAATTTTTTACCTGTTGCATAAATACTTACTTTCTTTTATTTGTTTTAAACCAGCAAATACCATTAAGTGACCATTATTTCCACTACTGAATCTGGTGTATTTTATTCTACGTTTACCTTATTTACTGTCATGATTTTGGAAACCTCAGTCACACTTCTGAGAAGCATTCTGCTCCCCAGACCAAAGAACCATTTAATCTCTTTTAACAAGTAAGGTGTTTTCTCAATGTTTTAGTTGCCTTTCTCCATGGACTCACCAATTTAAATCTTGAAATGTTGTCCTTGAATGCCCACCAGAACCGCACTCTAATATTCAAGATTCAGACCCACTATGGTTATATACAGTAATAAAACAATGCCTCCTGCCTTGTCTGTAACAGTGGTTATGTCCAATGTTTTGCTGACTTAAATTCTGTCTGATTCTGTGCAATGAGAGATGGTATTAGAACTGTCAGTGACAATGCCAGTATCTTTCCTGAGTTTTACAAATGAATTTCAAGTTCAGCATCGCCCAGGCACAGTTAAAGGAGATCTTTTTTGTCAGATGATTATCACATATTTATCTACCCTGACACTCATCTACCACTTTTTTTGCCCATGAATTACATTTTCTAAGATGTTTCTGTAGTTCCCTGACATCTAGTACCATCCCAGTAAATAAAGGCTATGAGGTACCATCCACAAACTGAGAAATATCACTATTTACTCCATTCTGCAGGTTATGGGTGAATATATTGAATAAAACTTGACTCAGCACCAGTCCTATGGTACTTCACTTCTGATATGTCCGTCTTAACAAGCTACTATATTCTTGAAAAACCTCTCTCTCACAGGAGCATTGTCAGTGCAAAAGGGCACAGTGAAGTCAGCTGAAGGTTTGGTTTCAATTTAGGTATCAGCTCCCTTTTTCCTACTGGGTGCTCTCGTTCCCCCTTAGCAGCACAGGGACTGTCACAGTGGAAGTGGGACAGCTGTACAACCTCTCTGCTGGCTCCATCTGAAAACCTCTCCATTTCAACTAGCTCAGCCATCTCAAGCCACCAAACACATCTCTCACCATCAAAAGCTCTTTTCAGTAACTACATACTTGCAGACATGATCCCAGGACAAGTTATGAGACCTACAATTGGTCTATGCAATAAACTCATCTCCATGCAGTTGCCAGACTTCTACCTGTATCCCATGGTTAACACTGTACCAGGAATTATAAACCCAGGGATTTCTCACCCAATGGAAGCTAGCATTTGGTAGTTTGATGGTTGAACACAATGACTGGCAAGAACTTTACCAAAGAAATACAGGTTTCATGTTTCAGTTTCTGACTTGAAAATAAACAAACGAATAAAAAAGCTTAAAAGCTGAGGTGCAAAGGTTAGTGAGGGAAAGTTAAGCTAAACAGCTAAAACAGTTTATTCTTCAAAATTTTCAGGTTGCTTCACACTGCTGAACCTTTTGGTCCTAGGGAATCATATAGATTTAGTGCTACATCACTGCAGCTTGACCCAGTCCAGAGGTCTTCTGACACCAAGCAGTTTTCAGGAAAGGATTTGGTATTGGCTTCCCCCATCTTACAATACTTTACATTGACAATATCCACTTTGAGTTGATTACCATGTCTTGCTGGTGATTTGCATGTCAAAAGACTTTTAACAGATAAACAAGCAACTTCTTCCCTGCAAACACCCCATACTCCAGACTCAGAAAGATTTACTTGCTTCCTGGAAATTCACTAATTTAGTATAACTATTTTTAAATTCAGATGTTATTAAGTCTCTCCTAAAGTACTCAATCGCTGAATTGGACATTTCATTAAAATATGTACTTTTCTAATCTACTCTTCTCAGCATAAATAGATTCTAGACCTCCTTCTCGGTAACTTGTCTCTAAAGACCACCATCAGCAAAAATCCTACTCTCTTAACAGCACTTATTTGACTGGCAAACCTAATGTACCTAGAAATACTCTTTTCCTCAGTGACTTCTCCTACAACTGTTCTGTGGAAATACAATGGAAACATTTAAAACCCATGTCATGCTGTTTTTAATAGGCAAAAGTTCTGTTAGTGCAATGAGGGGGGTAACAAATATTTCTATGTACAATTTACAGTATTGTACCTTCTATCATTTCCATACCACTAGGAGGCTTACAATGTCCAGCATGGCTCACAACCCAAACGGGATACTGTTGATTTAGTCCACAATATAAGGCCTGTATAAAGGTCCTGTAATAACCTGCCAGTCCAGGGTTACCTGCCAAAAAACAAAACATACAAGCACAAGTCAGTATTAACCTTCCAATAGCAAGTAATCTGCTTCACAGCAAACTAAACAGCATTATATAGCAATTTGTTAATTTATTTTCTCTAGTACATTTCCAATTTTTATTTTTCTCAATTTCAGGGGCTATGATATTGAACCAGTTTAATTCCACTGATCAGTGGCACCCATGAGAAGCATCTTACAGAATTACTTTGAAATTGCAGAACCTAAAATTGAAGCTCAATACAAGAAAAAAATCTCCTTTTCCATCAGAGGTTGACCAGTTTGCTTATTTATTCCATCAAGTCACAGGTATGTGAAAATTGGTCAAAGAACCCCCCAGATCTTACAAAAATATCACAAAGACTACCGCGCATATCACTTAACCCAGATGTCTGCCCTTCAGAGTGTTACCACTTGAAAACAGGTATGTGGTAACCTATATGGTTCTGTATGACCCTAGAAGAGAGGGTGGACTGGACTATATCATCCTTTTCTGCTTGCAACTTCATAATCTCTCTGTCCTCTTCCATGCCGCTTGAGAAGCTCTTTCCTTGTCCACCCTCGTGCTCTAGAACCACGGGAAAATCTGTCCTCCCTCCTGCACCCCATCAGCTTTAGAGAGAACTTCTCAGAAGAGGCTGGTGTCTGAAGGAATCCGGCTTGCCCTAAGAGAGTAGATCACCTTGCTCTATATCCACGGTTTAACAGTGACAATATCAACAGTCAGGTACCACCGCTGAAGTGGAAACTAAAATACTGTCCCAAAGTTAAAAATATATATGTATGTGGTAGTGATTTCAGAATTTCCAAATAAAACTCAAATCTCTATTCTTCCTTTTTTTCTTTCTCTTTTGATAACCATAGTGACTTAAATTGGAGAGTAAATCCATATAAAGACAAAGCAGATTTTGTTTCCTAATTCCCATAGGATGAATAAAAATTTCACACAGACATAAAACCATATAATTTCTCTCTATTTATTAATTTTTCAGAGTAGTTCCACTGATTTATCATTTAGACACCAGGAAGGCCCACCATCATGGTTAGGACTGATCAGTTACAGGTCTTTCACTCACATACTAGGCAATTCTTAATTTGGGTATCATTGACATCAAAAGGTGGCAAGAGCAGTATTGTGTAAAAAGGCATTAAATTTAAAGACAGAAACATTCCAAAAAAACATAAACATATTACTGAAAGGGTATGAGAGAAAAAAACCAACCCTCACTAAAATTGTGTAAAACTCCTTTATATCAGTAATAACGGAGGCAGAGCTGTGCAAGTATTTATAGTGACAGAGAAGAATAAGAGCTGCAATCAAATCAGTACTTGTGGAAATGGTGTGTGGAGATAAAAATCTAGGTTTATTTTACTTCTTCATTTTCTATAATAGGAATTTTCATTTTGTCTTCTTTTACTTCAACCCTTTTGCTCTTCAGGTACCACAGAGTGCGTTCGCTGCTCTCCCAAGGGGCACTCCTCAGGCCAGGCCTGCCAGAGCCCAGCCTGCTCACGGCAGAGCAGCAGTGCACCAGGCGCCCGAAGCCGCCCCCAGCACGGACCCTGTGTCGGAGCTGAGGCCATGGCTCACGCCAGCCATGACACACGGGAAGAGCAGGGAAGCCTTCCACTCTGGATAACGTATCACACGTGTTTCATCCCTCACATGTAAAAAGTTTCTCTGATGGTTTTTAAACCTTAACAAAATTACTCATCTTAAAACAACATTATTTTTATGGGAGGAGGAAAAAAAAAAATAACCAAAATACCAAAACCCAAACCCCACGGTATCAGTTATTACATGTATCTAAACATCTCTTTGTAAGCTTGACATCAAAAGAGATATTTAAAAAAAAAAAAAAAAAAAAGTTGCTGTATATACAAACTCCAGGATGCATGATCAAATTTTTGCAAACTGATTTCCAGAAAAACAATGTAAAATTCATCCATACAACTGCACCACATTTTCATATGTCAAAGATATATAATATAGAGGGTCCCAGAGACAATAAAATAAAATCTAGACATCATCTGTCAAGCTCCCTGGATAGATGTTACATAGAGAAAATCTGTCTTTCAGCAAGGTTGAAGGTGAAAGCCGTAGCAATCCAAAATAAAGTGTGTCTTTTGTAGTACAAATGATCATGATGTTTTGGCACCACACTTAGTCCCGTAATATAATGTAATTAGGTATTTTGAGAGAAAGAAATCACAAAATTAATCTGAAAAGCACCTGCTTTCTTTACATTTTCCTCTCCTTTAATAATGCAAAACAAGGAGAGGGGGAGAAATGGCAACAGCTGTCTTAAAACAGACATTTCGGTGCTCTTTCACATGATCAGCCAGGTGAACCTAACATGTAAATATTCTCAGGATTCAGTCATCGGCTGTAGAGCAGTGAAGTAAGAACTGCCTATGAATAGTGAGGTTTTGCATCAAATACTATACAAAGCTCAAGGCACTTCAATACTTTTTTGAGGGAAAGGGGATTTTTATCTTGTGATAAATGTGATACGTATTTTAGGCAGGTAAAAGAGAAAATCCATAAATGCAAAAGAACCCCCCTTTCCCCACTCTTCATAAGCATCTATCTGCTCATGGTAAAAGATATTCTGAGGGGTCAACTGTTAGAACTGCTACTGATACTTTAAAATGCCTTGAAGGGGCATGAATGAGAACTGCTGGCACAACTGGAAAGGAAAATTAACAGATTTAAACAGCAAAGATTTCTATAAAAAACCCACCATGTGTAAAGCAGCTATAAATTTATTCTTTATTGAACTTTCAATTTCAGTGGAGTTTTTCCAGATTTGCACTGATTTAAGTAAATGCAGATTAATAGTCCCTGCTCTTGAAAGCTTGCATCTACAACATTTATAAGTGAAGAATATTTTATCTCATAATACAGCTCAAACTCACATCTCTGTAAAGTCATTTTATGTTTTTACTTTAGCTGCTATCCATCAAAATACTTTAAGGGGAGCAAACAAAAAACCTGAAGAGATAAAGATCTTTTTCATATAACAGAGTTACAGTAACAACTAATGGAAAAAAGTGGGGCTTTGTATGCACAGCAGTCTGTGATTAACAATATTTTGGGCTCATGTGCTGCAGTTGAAATGTTGTTCAATTAAATTATTTTACTTTATAGAAAAAGAACTACCAGGCTCAACACAAAGGCACCCAGGCAACTCAGTGCTCATTTATGCATTTTAAGGATTTCCCATCACATCAAACCAAAACTGCCTATGATCTTTCACTCAGCAACTAAGTGTCAAAAAATGGAAACCATAAGTAAATGCAGTGTTAACCACCATGATTTGAAGGTTACTCTGGTTATTTGAATATCACATCAATCCTCAGACACCTCAAGGCACCTGAATCATTCATGCATGCCAGCAAATCTCAAGTTGCAGTCATCTGAACAGAGAAGCACATCTTAAGCAGTTACTCTCAACTGGGCTTAATTTTCAGCAGTGTTTATGTTGTTTCAGAAGTCTTAAACAATAGCTGTAAATGGTGAGCATAACAGAAGACGACACGAAACTACAATACGCTGCATATTAGCTTAATTTGGAAGAGATTTCTAAGCATTTCATGGGAAGAGTGTGTCAAATGGACAATTTGCAGTGAATTAGAACACAGTAGGCCACTTTACTTGGTGTACTCATAAGTTTCAATAACCAAAGGACTCCTGTCACCTTCTCTGTTCTTCCCCATAATACATGACATCTCATCCAGCTATTCTACATTAGGCTCAAAATCTTTCCATTTTAATTTGAAGATGGGAATCCACTTCTTCCTTTTCCAATCTATTCCACCCACAGCTAAAGCAAAACAGTACAGAACAACTGAATGTGCAGAGGGGTAACTTTGAGCTGTATCAGGAGGTAAATATTCTCCACTTCTATATATGGCACATACAGGCTTTTAAGAACTGGAGCTACTACTCTTTAATCATTCACATAGCTAAAACCATGGAAATTACTTATAAACATGCATTTGTCCGCCTTTCACTTTCAAACACTTCCTTGTTAATGCTTTTTCCATCAAATCAAGATTTTAAATATCAACCACGTCCTTCTGATGAGGACAGCTAGTAGTGGAGAGAGAACAATTTCTACAACCTAAGTATCTGCCCCAGAATATCACTGATAAAGAATAACTTATCCTGATTTCACATTACTTCCTACACAACGTGTCATACAATCAAACTTGGCCTGTCTTATATATTTCAATACACTAATATTTGAGATGCTACACTTCCAAAAAAGAAGTTACTCAGACTTGGGAAGTTTAAACTTATATACCATATGCCATTAGCGCAATTCAATCAGCTTAATTCTGAATGCAAAACAACAAACATACAACGCTCATTTAAAAAGCCACAGTCCATAGCTACCCTCCACAAGGAATGACAGCTTTTGTGGATTACAAATTGTCAAGCATTTTTAATTCTTCTGCAACAGGAAATATTAATGTAAAACGGAAGCTATAATTAAGAGAACACTAACATTAGACAATCCTGTGCAAAAATAATTCCCACACTTATGGAGGAATGTACAATGTCAATCACAACAGCAAAATGTTTCAGGCTAGAAACAAAGATATACACCAAAACTTACAGGAAAAGTCTTATGTCCAGAAAGGGGTAGGTCACAAATATATACAGCTTACTCAGATGAAAATGAAAGTAAAACAAAAAATGAAAATAATTCTTAGCAGTTCTGGAAGGGCTATCTAAATTAAAAAGGATTTATTCAAGCAGTCTATAGTAAATGTCAAGAGTGGTGGGGAGTGAAGAAGAAATTTATGTGCAGCTAAATCATCCCAAACAGCACCAACATTTCTTGTACATTGTTCTGAAACAAGTTTTTGGGTTCTCTGCACTGTCCTATAAGGCGTTCCCCAGTATTTTCAGTTTTGTCTCCAGAAGTCTGACCATCTGTGGGAGCAGTAACTGGCATGTAGCTGTGGTGCTCCATGCA